AAAACCAGGGTGTGGGGGACACAGGAGACAGGAGTAAACCTCTGGGGACCCTCCTCCGTCTCAGGTCTCAGATGTGAGAGCCCCAGCCTGCCTCAGCTTGGGAGGGGACCCCCACGCCCCACCCCACCCCGGCCGCAACCCTGCAGTCGGGGTGGGGGAAGGACACCTTCCCGAGGAGAGACTGTTGAACTTCTGGCAAAGCGCCCACGTGCTTTATATTAAAACTGGTCTGACAGGTTGGTGTGAAAGGGCTGCTCAGGGCCACATCTCCTCAAGGAAGAGGGCCTTTGTGAGGTTTCACAACCCTCCGGCCTCCCTGATCAGGACTTATCTCAGGCTCTTGGCCCCTCTGTTTCACCTTACATCTGTGAGGGGTGGGAGTCTCCCATCTGAGAGTGCAGCCAGCCTGGCCCGTGTCCCCAGTCTTATTTAGACCCATGTTCAGCCTTGATCATCCAGCAAGATTTGCTCAGTTTGCAGATTAGAAGCTGAACCCAGGGGCAGGGGACCCGATAATGATTCCAAGGGTGTTAACGACACTCAGTGATCATGGGCGAAGTCTGCCAGGAAGAACTCTCATTGGTTGACAAGAGAAACCTGAGTGGCCTGGTGGCATCTCTGTCCCAGAGTTGTTCCATCAGAGTGTTGTGAGTCCAAGGAGGGACACCAGATAAGATCAGTCTGTGAGCCCACCTCCCCTGGCCTGATGGAATCCTCCAGGGTGCAGTCCCCAGCCCCCTCCTCCAAAATGCCCTCCTGAATCACCCCGCCCCTTGTGCCTGTCCCCAGCGCCTTGTGAGTGCCAAGGCTCTTTTAGCATGCCAGCCCCCGGGAGGCAGCGCAGAGCAGCAGTTGCACAAACATGGTCTTGATTCAGCGTTTGGACTCTGCCTCTGCCCCTCACACCAAGCTGTGTGACCCTGAGAAAGCCACAACCTCTCTGAGCCGTATCTCTTTTCCTGTAATGGGCACAGCTTCTGTTGGTGTGCAGGGCTGCAGGGAGAACTTAATGGGCATGAACCCCACCCCCAGGATCACCTCACCTCCCCTGGTCTCCATCACACCCCACTCCGCCATATCCCAGACCTCTCAACCTCCTTTCTGGCCTCTGGCCCCCAGGCCCTTGTGGGGTCATCCCCACCCAGCTGACAGGTTCACTGCTTAGAAACGAGCATCGGATCGTAGCATTTCCCTGCTGAACTCTGAAGGGCGCCCCACCACCAGAACACCATCCGTGGGTCCCCCCTCTGCCTTCTCCACCCGCCCTCTGTCTCCTCAGCCCTCCTGGGAAGCCAGCCATCTTCTGGCCCTGCCAGGTTTGTTCCTGCCTCAGGGCCACTGCACTGGAGCTCCTTCCACCTAGGATGTCCTTTCTCGGCGGTGTCTCAAGCTCAGGGCCACCTGGTTCCAGAAACTTCCTCAACCCTCTCATCTGCAGCAGTGTCCCCCCGCCCCCCGAGAGCACTCTCTTCCCCGCCCCCTGCTCTGCATTCATTTCACTCTCAGAACTCATTCTCTGTGTCCATCTGTGTGCTGGTCTATTGTCTCTCGCCCAGCAGCCCATGAATCCCACAAGGACGGGGAGCGTGTCCATCTTATTCCCTGCTGTGTCCTCAGGGCCCGGATGGAGTCCAGCCCAGTTAGTGCCCAGAGAGCAAGAGAGCTGGCAAAGACAGTCGGTAAAGGGTTCCTTTCAGTTATTGTGCGCATGTCGTGCGGGTTCCCATACGCCCACCAGTCAGTTCCCCTCTTCCTCCCTGACCAGTGCCGGTAGACGTGCCCCTTTCAGCAGCCCAGAACCACCCGGGGTCAGTCACCAGAGGATATTTAGCCTCTGTTAGGCTGGCTCTCTGACTCGGGTCTGGGGCCCAATGACATGCACTCCACTGATCCTGTTCTAAGCAGGCATCACTCACTCCCTTGATAGGGAAATGTGAGAATAAGATTGAAGCCGACTGGGACTTCCCTGNAGTGTAGCCACAGAGACTGGGATAGACCTTTCGCTCCATCCTGCTAATTTGTGTCACCTACTGCACTGCCTTATGTATTGATGGAAAAAAAAAAAAAAAATTGAAGCAGAAAACTATCAGGGGTTAGAGGCAGCTGGTAGCCCCTTTTCAGGCAAGAGCCAGACCCTGACTTGGGCTGAGGCAAGGGGGAAGGGGATAGGACTCTGTTGGCCAGGCCAGTAGCTCCAGAGACCTTAGCAAGCAGGGACATAAGGGGATAAAACCAGTATTCCAGAACAGCTCACCTGAAAGCTACCCCCACCCCAGCTGCCCATCCTTGCCACCTCACGTCGCAGTGCATGGGCAAGGGGGCGGTCGGGATCCTGCAGCCTGAGCTCTGCTCTGGGCCTCACCCCCTCAGCCACCCCCTTGCCTGCTCTGGGCTTGTCTCCTCATTTGTGGAGTATGGGTAGTATTTTGTTGTCTAGTCGCCCAGTTGTGTTCAACACTTTGCAACCCCGTGGACTGTAGCCTGCCAGTCTCCTCTGTCCATGGACTTCTCTAGGCAAGAATACTGGAGTGGGTTGCCATTTACTTCTCCAGGGGCTCTTCCCCAACCAGAGATTGAAGCTAGGTTTCCTGGATTGGCAGGCGGATTCTTTACCGCTGAGCCACCAGGGTAATATTTAGGCCCACTCTAACCCTGTGGACACCCTGACGTCTCTCCTCTGTGGACAGCAAAGGGCTTCCTTCCACTCTAGCACTGTCTGGCCCATGGTGCCAGGTAAGCAAGAGCCTGCCTTTGGCCCCTCTGTGTCTACTGCCTGTTCACTGGGTGACTCAGATCTGGGACTGGAGCAGACGCAGGGGTCATCTCAGGCATTCTGGGAGTCACAAAGGAGCTGGGATCTAGGCTGAAGCAATGAGAAACCACAGACATCCCTGGCAGGGCCATGGTGCCCTGGACGAGGTGTGTTGCCAGGCCCTGCAGCCAGCAATGGAGAAGGTGCCAGGCGGGACACGTGGACCTGGTAAAGATAGCCCTCACCCACTTCTTGCTCACTCTCACCCAATGGCAGCTCCATTCTTTCCCACGCCTCTCTCCGTACCCCCAGGGTTCTACACCTCCAGAGTTCTTTATTTTTATCCTGTCCTGCCTCATCCTTGTCATCAAAGTCACTCCTCACACCTTCCTGTCTTCAATCTGCTGATGTCTGCCTCTTCAAATCTGCAACTTTTAATTGTCTAAGGGCTGAGAAAATAGAAAGGTTAGAACTATTTCTGAAATGAGGGCTGAAAGGCCATGAGTGGGCTTCAGAGGTACTTTCCTGTGAGGGACTCAATGGTGTAGAAAGTTTCAGCACAGATAGGATTCCAGGTGCTGAAGTGCTCCAAAGGCAGACCATCAGATAATGGAGAGTGTTTTCATTTTACTTGCTCTTTCACCTACTTCTGGTATGCAGGACCCTGATTGAAAGAGTCCCCAAACCCCAGTCAGCCTAGGACAGGACGCCATCAGATCCATCCCAGGCCAGGCCCTGTGGACAGCCACTATCCCCAATCAACCATTCTGCCCCGCTGCACAGAATGACCTTTCCTAGGCTCCTTGTGATCAGGGATATAAGCTCCCCAGTCATGCCCTGGTGCCTTGGCAAGCCCTGTGCCTTCTCCTTGGGGTGATCCAGCCTGACTTCTCTGTTAGGCCTCATCATTTCCAAAGACGGTGCCCCCCAGGAGTGGTCCACAGCACCCGTACCGCTAGTGTTTTCCACCTACGTTTAGTTGGCATCTCCTGTTCACACATCTTTTAGGTCTGATGCTCCTCTACTAACCTCCCCCACCTGGCACTGGGCAGTGACCCTACAGGCAGTCCCACTAGTGACCCTGCATCCCACCCTCCAAGGGGAAAAGAGGGAATTGGTGGACAAGGGCTTCTCCCTAACCCTTCCACTATAAAACTAACATCATGGTATCTGGTCCCATCACTTCATGGCAAATAGAAGGGGAAAAGGTGGAAGCAGTGACAGATTTCCTCTTCTTGAGCTCTAAAATCACTGTGGATGGTGACTGCAGCCATGAAATTAGAAGACAATTGCTTCTTGGCAGGAAAGCTATGACAAACCTAGACAGTGTGTTAAAAAGCAAAGACATCATGTTGATGACAATAGTCATATAGTCCATATAGTCAAGGTTATGGTCTTTCCATTAGGAGAAGGCAATGGCAGCCCACTCCAGTACTCGTGTCTGGAGAATCCCATGGATGGAGAAGCCTGGTGGGCTGCAGTCCATGGGGTCGCTATGAGTCAGACACAACTGTGCGACTTCACTGTCACTTTTCACTTTCATGCATTGGAGAAGGAAATGGCAACCCACTCCAGTGTTCTTGCCTGGAGAATCCCAGCGACAGGGGAGCCTGGTGGGCTGCCGTCTATGGGGTTGCACAGAGTTGGACATGACTGAAGCGACTTAGCAGCAGCAGCAGCAGCATGGTCTTTTCATTAGTCATATACAGATGTGACAGCTGGAGAGTAAAGAAAGCAAAGCATGGAAGAATTTAGGCTTTCTAACTGTAGTGCTAGAGAAGACTCTTGAGAGTTCCTTGGAAAGCAAGGAGATCAAACTGGTCAATCTTAAATGAAATCAACTCTGAATACTCTTTGGAAGGGCTATTGCTAAAGCTGAAGCATCCAATACTTTGGCCACATGATGTGAACAGCCCTGACTCACTGGAAAAGACCCTGATGCTGGGAAAGATTAAGAGCAGAAGAAGAGGATGACAGAGGATGAGATGGTTGGATGGCATAACCAATTCAGTGGGCATGAACTCGGACAAACTCTGGGAGATGGTGAGGGACAGGGAAGCCTGGTGTGCTGCAGTCCATGGGGTCATGAAGAGTTGGACATGATTTAGTGACTAAACAACAATAACAACCCTTTCCACTTTTCACTGGGTGCCCTAGCAGGGCAGGCTCAGCCACACAGGTCTTTGGGCCTCTGCTACCCAGATGTAAAGTGGGGGATGCTGACAGTAGATAGAAGGGACAAACGGTATATGACTCAAAAAAAAAGGCCCCTCTGAGGGCTCCATACATGAAAAGTACAATTTTATTGTCATTACAGAAAAAGCAGTGAAAATAAAAAGACTACCAAACTGTTTAAAGTAATAATTATTTTATAAAGTCTCATCGGATATGGAATTTCGTTCCCTCTCTTGAGTGAACGCCATGTTCCTGGGCAGGAAGCAGACCCAGCAGAGCTGGAGCAGTGGCCCTCCAACGACCATGCCACTCCCTGGCCCGGCCCCCGACCTGTGCAGGGCCTGCGCCCCGGCGAGACCAGCTCTACGCAGACAGGGCTCGGCCCCGGAGGGGGTGAGTGGCAGGCTTTGCTGGGCGCTAACATGTTGGCTCCATGTTCTTGTTTATTCACCCATCCTCCCAAAACAGGGCTGGAGGCCAAGGAGAAGGACTGCTTCTCGGGTGGACGGATTAGTGCCAGGACATGCAGGACCACCTTGGGTCCAGCAGCGCATCTCAGGGTGGGAGGAACCAGAGAAGCTGGGGCCAGTCTGGGGCCTCTGGAGTGCTCAGGGCAGAGAGGAGGGGTCGGCTCACCCCAAGACCAACCCAGGGAGAATAAATAAATAAATACTATATAACTGTGCTGTCCCCCAGTTTGGTCTGTGCCCCTGCCTGGGGACTGTCACCATCAACCTCGGTTCCTCTGGCTGATATGCCCCTGAGACAGAGGCTGGCTAGCTGGAAGGAAGGGGCCCGCCCCACCCTGAGGATGGAGAAACCAGGGTCGGCCAAGTCTACGCAGTTCAGGAGTCCGCAGCAGGTGAGTGGGGGACTGGGCCCAGCCCACGGGTTGAGACCAGGTCCTGCCGGTGCCCTCTCTTTTGACACAGATGGCCCACCACAATGGAGTCATGTGGGAGCTGGGGGGCGCTGACCTCCACGTCGTGTGACACTTTCCCTGACCCCTCACCCCCAGCCTTGTTCCTGCGGACCGTTCCTGGTCTAGCTGCCAGATTTGCACAGGCACCAGGATGACTGGAGGAGGGGTCGTGGGAGCCCAAGTCCAGCTGGGGCCCATGTCCCCTCCAGGGTCCAGCTGGATGAGGCCAGGCGGCTGCTCGGCCGGGTCAGAGCTGGAAGGGGTATTGTCGGAGGTAGTCAGCCATGCGGCGGGGGAGCGGCAGGCAGTCCACGTCAGCCACCAGACGGTTGATGACGAGGCGGCACAGGTGCTGCAGGCTTCGGGTGCTGCTCCTGCGCACAAAGGGCTGCACCAGTTTCAGGTGAACGGCCGTGGTGGGCAGGGCTGGGTCACCAGGCACATCTTCCTTCGGGGTGGGCAGGGCCGGGGTCGTGGCAAGGTCGGGACTGTCACTCCGGGTGTCTGAGGCACAGGAGGCCACGTAGTGCTGGACCAGGCTCACCACATCTGGGAAAGCCAGGATGCGTGGCCTGGACAGGCAGTTGGAGTCCAGGCGGAAGCTAGAGTCGGCGTACTCAATGCGCACGTTGGTGGGCCCGCGGGTGGTCTTGACGGACAGTGTGAACAGGTAGCTGGGGTGGGTGCTGTCACGTACCAGGAAGGTGCCCTCTGGCATCTTCTGCAGGTGTTGCCGGGCCTCACTGGCCGTAATGGAACCCCAATACCAGCCTAGGCAAGTGGAGAGGAGAGTAACCAACTGGTCACAGTGGAAAGTAGCTAGGTGCATCAACCCAGAGCACGGCAGGGTTCAGCCTCTTGTCGTCACCCCTCCCTGGGGAGGGCTGGAGCCCTTCCCTCCCGTCAGACTCTTCTGGCCAGAGGCTTGCCTCTCAAATGAGACTCAACAGGCAGGCTAATCTTCCCCCGTCAGACTTCCCAGGACAACTCCTCCTCCCTCCTCAGACTCACCAGATTCCCGAAGGTAGGAGAAGGTCTTGGCTATGCACAGCAGGTCCTCCTCGGGGTCCACCACCTTGGTCTCCCTCTCTGGCTGGGCTGGGGACTCCTCTCCTGCCTCCTCCAGGAAGGTGCCAGCAGGCAGAGGCTGCATAACTGGTTGGGGCAGCTCCAGGGACCGGGCCCACAGGGGCCGCTGCCCAATCTGCTCCACGGCCAGCAAAGGACAAGGTCTAGAAGGAGGTGCGTGGGCAGTGAGTGGAGGCCCTGTGCTCTCTCCATTTCCAGAGATCCCCTCTGCCCCAGATGGCTACATGACCTCTGTGCAGGGTTCAGCCTCTTGTCGTCACCCCTCCCTGGGGAGGGCTGGAGCCCTTCCCTCCCGTCAGACTCTTCTGGCCAGAGGCTTGCCTCTCAAATGAGACTCAACAGGCAGGCTAATCTTCCCCCGTCAGACTTCCCAGGACAACTCCTCTTCCCTCCTCAGACTCACCAGATTCCCGAAGGTAGGAGAAGGTCTTGGCTATGCACAGCAGGTCCTCCTCGGGGTCCACCACCTTGGTCTCCCTCTCTGGCTGGGCTGGGGACTCCTCTCCTGCCTCCTCCAGGAAGGTGCCAGCAGGCAGAGGCTGCATAACTGGTTGGGGCAGCTCCAGGGACCGGGCCCACAGGGGCCGCTGCCCAATCTGCTCCACGGCCAGCAAAGGACAAGGTCTAGAAGGAGGTGCGTGGGCAGTGAGTGGAGGCCCTGTGCTCTCTCCATTTCCAGAGATCCCCTCTGCCCCAGATGGCTACATGACCTCTGGCCAGTCTATCTCACTGTGAGCCCCTGTTTCCCCTCTGCTCACTCATGAGACCAATACTCTACCTTCCTCTTGTCAGCACAAAAGGCCCCCTTGATGACCTCTCCCATATATGAACCCTCTTCTGAAAGAGACTTTCCCACCCTCCTGCATTTATCAAAGAGCAATTATAGTTGGACCCAGTATTCATGGGGAGATGGTTCCAGGAAATGGAACCTGTGGATGCTTGAGTCCCTTATATGAATGGTGCAGTACAATGAATACATGGGCCCTCTGTATCCCCAGGTTTCACATCTGCAGGGACAAAGGGCCATCTGTAATCTCTCTTCTGTTTTGTACCAACCAAATCCATAAATATTCCCTGTAGGCATCTCTAGTTCACAGTGGCCAGTTGGGGTTCCCACCTCAGACAGGATCCAGTGCAAAGAGGCCCCACAATGGTGCCCTCCTGGCAGAGGTGGCTGATTAAATGCATGGTACTGGTTGAGCCAAGGAATGGGTCACATGTTACCTCACCATCGACAACAGTGTCTGTCAGAGGGAACTTGGTCTACACTAGCCAGGCCTTAGAGGCTAGAATTATCTCCCTGAACAGGTCAGATTCCCATCCTGTTCTCTCCTCCTCCCAGCTGAGGGTCTGGGGTACACAGTGGCCTCTAAAGGCACTAAGTCCCACCTCCCATAAATAAGAGCTCCCACCAAAGGGCAGGGTACTCATCCCACATTCCAGATCCCACCCTGACAAGCCTGCCCTACCAGACACCGTGATCTTAAGCAAACACTGCCCTTCACTAGAGGTCCACTTCCCCACTGCCTCAGTGAGGGGTCATCCCAGCCCAGACACTGAGGGGTTGGGCCACACCATATTCTCAGATGACTAGAATTGGGTTGTTGAACCAGCCCCATCTGAGTAGTAGCTTCTCTTTAAGAGAAACCCACCCAGTGCAGTGATATCCTGGGGGTTTTGGGGAGTGAGAGGCATGGCCCTGGTTCCCATGGAAGAGACTGCCAGTCCTTTCCCACTCGTCACAAAAGAAATCCTCGGATCTCAGTTCTGGGTCTGGTTCTCTGCCAGGCCTCAAGACATCAGGATAATGTAACCTTGGGCCCTGCCCTAAAGGAGTGCTCATAACCCAACATCATAAAAAGGCAAAGGATGTTATGGGGGAGCCAGGGTCAGCCTGCTCCTGAGCTGAGTCTCAGGGCAAAGGAAGGAGAAGCGGTGAAGGCACCACAGGCCGAGATGACACACGGGGAAACGCTGCCAGGTATTGCTTATGCGGCAGGAAGAGATGGGCAGGACCTGGCAGCAGGAGCCAGGGAGAGGAACCAGATATGACAATGTAAGTTACAGGTGACTCTTAGAATATTTTAACAAATCAGGGGCTGGCAATTGTTCATGAGAAGGGGCCATAAGACCCTGGCACACCATAGCCTGGTGGCACTTCTCCACCCCCACTCTTGCTGCACTGTGGGAGCTCTGGACTCCCTCTAGAAGAGCTGGAGGCTGAGATCCAAGCAACTGGCTGAGGGCCTCCCTACTGGGACCCAGAGCTCAGCTCAGGCCAGGGAGCCTTCTAGGACATAGGAGGTGGCTAGCCAGTCAGACCAGACAGAGTCTCTGGGGGTGGCCATGTCCAAACAGCTTAGCATATGTGGGTGTAAGTACCTCTAGGTATGATGATATATCTGGATGTGTGAGTGGCTGTATTGGTCACCACAAGCTCCTGGTGAGTGACTATATATATCTGGGGAGGGGTGTGTCCACAGCTGTGTCATTGTGTCACGGTGGTGGTGATGGCTGTGGTGCTCCAGGTATGGGTGGCCAGTATGTGAGGGCACCTGCTGGGCAGCCCAGCCTGTGCATTCTGTTTGGGGACATAAACTGGTAAAGCAAACTCAACCCTGAGCAGGTAGCCCTCAGCAAAACTGACACCCCAAACCTACAGTTCGGAATTCTTGCTCTCCGGTTCAGGAGAGCACTAGCTGGTCTTGCTCCCTGACAAGACCATTGGCCTGATGCACTGATATTCCAAGGGGGCCTTCAGCTGGAGCAAAATGAGAGGGTGTGGGACCCCAGAATTGGCTGGGGTCCTGTGAACAAAGGCAGAAGCGTGGGGGAAGGTGTTCGGGAGTCCCAAAGTGCAGAGAGGAGAAAGGGAGATGCTGGAGATGATCAGGGAGAAACAGAAGCATGTACAGTCTTCCTAGCACCTCCAGGTGCTGGCAACAGGACTGCTCAGAGCTGGGGGCACTTCAGCCTTGCCCCACCTTCCATCCTTCCTCACTTGGTACCATATCAGTTTTGATAACAGCAGTCACTGGGCCACCTAGCTCTCTGACTGTGGAGCACCCACTCACATCTCCTTTCACTCACCCTGGAGCTTCTGAGCTCCTGTCAGATGAGTTTGGAGAGCATCAGACCCTTGGTTGAAGGGGACGCTGAGGTTCTGGTCAGAAGGAATGTGTTAAGAATGCTCAGCTGAAGCCAAGACTGTCTTATAAGTCCCCACCCCACCCCTGCAAGTTGTGGGGAAACTCGGAGAAGGGAGGCAGGAGCCAAGGCACTTCTCGCATTGGGTTCCCATATTGGACTGAGAGTAGGGATGAGGCCATTATGAGGGTGTGCCTCAGACAGGACTGGGTCAAACCTAGTCTCTTCCAAGAGCTGCTTGTTCAGCAGGTGCCAACCTGGGTAGAGGTAAGGATCTCAGATTTGTTTCCCAAGAAGAGCCTAACCCCTAGCCTGAGGCAGGAGAGTGGATGACAGGACAGAAAGGGGCAACGGTCACAGTAGGTTATTGGGCCGGCAGGCCAGGGAAGAGCGCTCCCGATCCAGAACGGCTGGGCAAGAGAGCCACGTCTGGGAGGAGGCGCTACCTGAAGCGTCCACCTTTTCCAGCCAGAACCCAAGCTTAGCCCACCCTGTGTTTCTCCTGTCGTTAGCAGACCCCCAGTTTCCGGACCCACAGTACCAGAAGAGGTGGTGACGATGTTGTCACCATTCTTCGTTAACACACTCCCGAGGTCTTTCTCCGACCAATCAAGCCCTCTTCATACTCGGCGGCTAGCACGAGGCCAGTTCGCCGCCGCGTCCCGGCGCGGAGCTGGGCTGGGGCAGAGACCCGCGCTTACCCCTGAACGCAGAGGACCATGTCCTGGCAGCGGCAGCTGTTGCTCCGGAGCTGAGGCCCGGCCTGACGGCGGCAGCTGGAGTGAGCCAGTGGTCGCGGATCGCGCTCTCAGGGCAGGCTCCCGGGGCGCACGGGCGGCGGGCCGGGACTGAGAGGTGGCAGCTCGGGTGCGCCGGGAGGGCGCGGGGGGCGGGCCTGCAGGACGGGGCGGGGCGAACAGCCTAATCTTTTGTCCTCTGTGTCCCAGCCCTTCCCGGAAGCGACGTCTTCCTAGAACCGCCGGCTGTGCGGTCGGGCGGCGAGGGGTGCGGGTGGGGGGCGGCGGCTCCCTTAGTCTGGGGCCGCGGGCAGCTAAAGGAAACACCTTTGACAGATTTCCAAGAACTTTCCAGGAAAATGGGGCGGGGCCCTGCGCGCCGACCAGTCGCAGTGCAGGAGGTGGGGCCGAGTAGTCAGGGAGGGCCAATTAGAGCCCTTGGATCCGAGGCTGACGTGAGCCAAGAGGATTGGGCGTGACCTAGAGACCAACCGGTGAAAACCAAGTTGAATAGGGCTAGGGAGAGGCCGGTGCTCTACCTACTTGAGCTCAGATTTCCTTCGGGGCACTCTGCTTCGTTAGCGACAGGCCCGCTTATCTCTGGATAGGACCGGTGGCAGCACGAGGTCGCGGCCACGGGTCTGTCCGCCCAGCTATTGGCTCCTCCAAGGCAGTGTGCTGGTGTGCAGGCGCCCCCTATGGGCTGCACTTGGACCCCTGGACCCTGTCTGGGGAGGCGAGTCGCATGGGTTGTGGTCCGGAGAGAAATACTAGGGGAGAAAAGGGACTCAGAGGGAGTATCCAGATCCGAGCAGGTTCACGGAGGTCAAGCCTGCGACCACTGCAGCCAATAGGATCCAGGCGAGAAGGTTTCCCCTGGGAGTTGGGGAAGAAGGCGCCATCCCAACCTTTGCACTCTGCGGGGCCATCCAGTCTCGGCCCTAAACTGGCTTCTGGCCAGCCCTCCAGTCAGGGAGGAAATGACTACCGACTTGAGAAGACAGGCAAGGATAAAGAGCCCCCAGCTCACCCCACAGGACAGTTCACACGTGTCTCTGGCTTGGTGGGCCCCCTAAAAATATGGGAGAGAGACCTGGAGCTCCAAACACCCAGAGATAAACTGAAGCTAGGGGATAAAAGTAGAGAGGAGGAGCAGTGACAGCCTCTCCCATCTACACGGAGCACCTGATACATTTGATCTTCAGTAGCTGGTATTGCTCTCATTATTGCTGAGCCCCAGGGAACATGCCCCTACTGTTGATCCTTTCCACATTTCCCCATTCACTGGACTCACCAGGGAGCATCCTTAAAGGGGCTGCACACATAGCCTCGGAGCCCGTGGGCCAGGAGATGAGAGAATTGGAGCAGTGGTAGGGCCCACCCCACCTTCCCGGTGTGTACCCCCCAAGTTCCCTGGAAAGAAGGTAAACTTCAGGTCCCCTAGCAGGGATGACAGGCTCCTGGCAGTGTCCAGAGGCACAAATGGTAGTATCCAGGCATTCCCCAAGGCAGACAGGGCTGAGCTTGTTCTGCCTGGGAGGGGATGGAAGACTGAGGGATCCAAAAGCAAAAGCCTGTTAAGCAGGACAACATGACAAAAATAATTGGTTCACATGAGAAATGACTTCATGAAACCCACTTCTCTGAAAACTTCCTGAAGGGAACTTGAGCTTCAGTGTAACTCCACTTCAGTTAAGTTCAGTCACTCAGTCGTGTCCGACTCTTTGCCACTCCATGGACTGCAGCACACCAGGCTTCCCTGTCCATCACCAGCTCCCGGAGCTTGCTCAAACTCATGTCCATCAAGTCAGTGATGCCATCCAACCATCTCATCCTCTGTTGTCCCCTTCTCCTCCCGCCTTCAATCATTTCCAGCATCAGAATCTTTAAATGAGTCAGTTCTTTGCATCAGGTGGCCAAAGTATTGGAGTTTCAACTTCAGCATCAGTCCTTCCAATGAATATGCAGGACTGATTTGCTGGCTTGGAGAATTTGAGCATAACTTTGCTAGCATGTGAGATGAGTGCAATTGTGTGGTAGTTTGAACATTCTTTGGCATTGCCTTTCTTTGAGCTTGGAATGAAAACTGACCTTTTCCAGCCCTGTGGCCACTGCTGAGTTTTCCACATTTGCTGGCATATTGAGTGCAGCATTTTCACAGAATCAACTTTTAGTTTTTGAAATTTAGTATTTGAAATAGCTCAACTGGAATTCCATCACCTCCACTAGCTTTGTTCATAGTGATGCTTCCTAAAGCCCACTTGACTTCCCATTCCAGGATGTCTGGCTGTAGGTGAGTGATCTCACCATTGTGATTATCCAGGTCATGAAGATCTTTTTTGTATAGTTCTTCTGTGTATTCTTGCCACCTCTTCTTAATATCTTCTGCTTCCGTTAGGTCCATACTATTTCTGTCCTTTATTGTGCCCATCTTTGCATAAAATATTCCCTNTGGTTTAATTGGATTTAAAAAGTGTTATGCTTTTAATTGAAAAAGTTGATCAATGTTCTGATAAATAGCAATCAATATAAGTGATCTCATTGTGAAGAAAAGATCTCAGAACTCTCAAATGTTTAGGAAGGAAAAGATAATTCAGAATCTAATTTTATGGTAAATTTGCCCCTATTTTTAATCTTCATAGTAACCTGTCAGCCAGGTGTCAAACTCCACAGTGATACTAGGATCTACTCAGAAAATGACAGCCACCTGCTTCAATGGGGGATCCAGTTTTATTTCATTTTTCAAAATAATACTCAATTGGTCACTTTTACACTTTGAAGTGTTGGTAATGCACCTACAGTTTTCCTAATACTTAAGTACAGTGCTCTTTTCTGCTGTAAATTACATTTAGCATGTTTTTATGTTACTTTTCTTACCTTGAAAATGTAATAGCTACAGAAATGTAAGTGTGAAAGCAGTACTAGTATTCAGATAATTTGCAAAACTTGAGAACATGTGTTGAGGAGACCAAAATCCGTTAACATTCATGTGATGTCTTATATTAAAGGAAAGATTTCTGCCACATAAATATGGGTGTGTTGGATAGGAGTCTGTGGTGTGGGCTGCACCACAGAAGACACTTTCTTTCACTTTCTTTCTGGAAAGTGAAGGTTGGTAGAGATAGATACTCATTTTATGGACAAACTATAGGGGAAAAGTAGAAAACTGTCAAGATGTTTATATAACACTAAGAGTGGGATTTGGGGCTTCTCTGGTGGCTCAGTGGTAAAGAACCCGCCTGTCATTGTAGGAGATTAAAGTTCAGTGCCTGGGTCTGAAGGATCCCTTGGAGAAGGAACTGGAAATCCACTCCAGTATTCTTGCCTGGAGAATCCCATGGACAGAGGACCCTGGTGGGCTATAGTCCACAGACTTACAAAGAGTCAGACACAACTTAGCAATTAATCCACAGCAATGTGATAGCAGGATTTTAACACTGGTCGCTTCGTCGTGCAGTTTTCTGGCAACGCAGTGGCCACCGTCGGCATTCACACTGCAGAGTGAAGTAGAGCACCTGGCGGGGGCTGCAGAGAAGGTTCTAGATGCCCGTTTTGTAACTCAGCCATTCAGCAGCCTGGGAGAGGGGAAGAGGCTCTAAATTAGAGATGGGATTACTTGGTTGGAGGTGACTGTCCTGAGACCCTCTGCGCTGCCATGGGAACCAAGGTGAATGGTTCCAGGGCGGGGTGTCTATCGAGGGAGCCGCTACAGAACTTGAATGTGACCATGGACTCCTGGGTAGATAGCGACTCACACTGGACAAAGCCTAAAGCTGAGACTGCCCAGCTGCCCGAGGTGTGGAGGGCGGCTTTCCTGGGACTGCAGCTCCAAGTGTTTATTCCATCTGGAGCTGGAGGGGAGGTAGGCATGTGCGTGTTTACCACCAGCCGGGTGAGAGCCACAAAGCAGGTGTGTTGACCCCAAGTTAATCTGAAGAGCTCTGGCTCCATGTCTTCCTTCACGGGGTAACAGGAACTTTGAAAGCAGACAGATAAACAAACCTAAGGAGAGGATTCCTAGAGTGAGAGGCGTCCTGAAACCACAGTGGTGCCAGAGGCATTCTCCAAGGCCGCAGGGCACCTTGACTGCACATTACTCAAACACTCTGACCCTGTCTCTTATACACATGCAAAGTAATGTCTCTGCTTTTTAATATGCTATCTAGGTTGGTCATAACTTTCCTTCCAAGGAGTAAGCGTCTTTTAATTTCATGGCTGCAGTCACCATCTGCAGTGATTTTGGAGCCCGAAAAAATAAACTGTGGCTACTGTACTGAACGCTTATTATGTGCCAGGTGACCTCAGCTATTTCCAGCCCCATTTCATTGTCTAACTACTAGATATTGTCCCCTCTTTACAGATGATGAAAATGAGGCACAGAGAGGTTAAAATATACCCTAGATCTCACAGGCCCAGCCCCCCTACCCCTGCCCACTCCAACACACTTCCTCTCCAGCTCTTGTGACAAGCCAACTCCTAGGCACCCCCAGGGTCCAGCTTTCAGGTCCTCAGTGAAGCTTCCCTGCCTCCAGGCCAGTCGATACCAGATCACCCCAGGGTCTCCTTGAAAGCGCCCCCCTACAGAAGTCAGTGATTGTGCAGTTCTGTGTGTAAACTCCAAGGATTTTGCCTTCCAGCTGCCCTTTGTGAAGGGGGCTTTCCTGGTGGCTCAGATGGTAAAGGTATCTTGCAATGCAAGATAGAACCTGGGTTCTATCAGTGAGATTGGGAAGATCCCCTGCGGAAGGGAATGGCCACTCACTCCAGTATCCTTGCCTAGAGAATTCCAAGGACAGAGGAGCCTGGCAGGCTACAGTTCATGGGGTCGCAAAGAGTCGAACACAACTGAGGGACTAACATACACTTTTTGCCCTTTGCTATCAAGCACCATGCACCTCCCCTGCATTCTGGGAAGAGTGGTGTGCCTCTGTTTTGCCCCAGGTACCTGCCTGCCTCCGGTGTTGTGGGTCCCTCTGGCCATCTGATTATGACCCCTCCTGCCCTGACTGCTGGGCCCACACTGCCACCCAGTGGCAATGCCTCTCCTAGTTTCACGGGCCACATCTCCATGGATTCTTCCTTCTAGAAAAAACCCTCCCCAGCACCCTAGAGATTCTGGTTGCAGGATCTCTCTGCCCTTCCCCACCCAGAACAGTCACAAGGTGGGTCATGAGAGCACACAGCAGTGCCTTCCTCAAGTTGGGCTCGTTTGCTCTCTAAAGTTTCATATGTGCAGCCTCTCATCTCCCCAAAGAACAGTCCACATGATGTGTGTGTGTGTGTGTGTGTGTGTGTGTGTGTGTGTGTGTNGCTCGTTTGCTCTCTAAAGTTTCATATGTGCAGCCTCTCATCTCCCCAAAGAACAGTCCACATGATGTGTGTGTGTGTGTGTGTGTGTGTGTGTGTGTGTGTGTGTGTGTATGTGTTGGGGCAGAGGGGCTTCACCTGCCCCCCCCCCACAGGCACTCACTGGTCCCCGTAGTCATAGTGAGTTATTCAAAAACCTCTCAGTCTCCATCCCGAGACATACAGTTTTCACTGTATGTGTGGCACATATGTGGCACTGTATGGAGGGCTGTGTGGCACAGTTTGCTACCTTGTACTGACCTGCTGGGCTTCCCTGTGGCTTAGAGGTAAAAAAAAATCTGCCTGCCAATGCAGGAGATGTGGGTTCAATCCCTGAGTTGGGAAGATCCTCTGGAGAAGGAAATGACAACCCACTCCACTATTCTTGCCTGGGAAATCCCATGGACAGAGGAGCCTGGCGGGCTACAGTTTATGGAGTCACAGAGAGTCAGATACAACTTAGTGACTAGAACAACAACAGCCCACCTGCTCTGCCCTAGTCATCCCAAATACTGAATCCTCCCATCAATGTGCAGGTGGCAGATGCTTGCTGGAGTGTAAGCAGCGAGGGGAAACTATGCATTCTGGCTCCTCCGAGTCAATTGCAAAACATGTCTGTGATGAACCCATGTGGAGACCGTGTGTGCTGAGTACCCATTGGCTTTGGCATGGACACTGTGAAAGGAGAGCCATTGCCACTGCCTACTTTTTACATTTCTGTATGGTTCAAATTTATTATAACAAGCAAGTTTGCTTATGCAATTAAAATTTAATAAAAAGAGATTAGTTTAAAAATACAAAAGTGTTAGAACAATTGTAATCTAACTCTAGTTTTTAGAAAATAAGAGAGCTCAGAGACCACAGCATGCAGTGATGCCCTTGGCTACAACAGGCAGCCAGCCTCCGCCCTCAGCTCTCTGTTGTTGTTCAGTTGCTAAGTCGTATCCATCTCTTTGTGATGCCATGGACTGCAGCACCCAAGGCTTCTCTGTCCTTCCTATCTCCCTGAGTTTGCTCAGATTCATGTCCATTGAGTTGGTGATACTATCTAACCAATCATCTTGTGCCACCCTCTTCTTTTGCCTTCAATCTTTCCCAGCATCAGGGTCTTTTCCCATGAGTCGGCTCTTTGCACCATGTGGCCAAAGTGTTGGAATTTCAGCATCGGCCCTTCCAATGAATATTCAGGGTTGATTTCCTTTAGGATTGACTGGTTTTATCTCCTTGTTGTCCAAGGGACTCTCAGAGTTTTCTCTAGCACTACAATTCAAAGGCGTCAATTCTTCAGCACCCAGCCTTCTTTATGGTCCAACTCTCACATCCATACATGACTACTGGAAAAAACATAGGTCTGACTATACGGATCTTTTTCAGCAAAGTGGTGTCTCTGCTTTTTAATATGCTGTCTAGGTTTGTCATAGCTTTCCTTCCAAGGAGCAAGCATCTTTTAATTTCATGGCTGCTATCCCCATCCACAGTGATTTTGGAGCCCAAGAAAATAAAACCTACTACTTTCTATTTTCTCCTCATCCATTTGCCATGAAGTGATGGGACCAGATGCCATGATCTTAGTTTTTTGAATACTGAGCTTTAAGTCAGATTTTTCACTTTCTTCTTCCACCCTCATCAAGAGGCTCTTTAGTTCCTCTTCACTTTCTGCCATTAGAATGGAATCATCTACATGTCTGAGGTGGTTGATATTTCTCTCAGTACTCTTGGTTCCAACTTGTGATTCATCCAGCTCAACATTTCGCATGATGTACTCTACATAGAAGTTAAATAAGCAGGGTGACAATATACAGTCTTGTTGCACTCCTTTCTCAGTTTTGAACCAGTCTGTTCCATTGTTCCATGTAAGGTTTTAACTCTTGCTTCTTGATCCATGTACAGGATTCTCAGGAGACAGGTAAGGTGGTCTGGTATTCCCATCTCTTTATGAATTTTCCACAGTTTGTTGTGATCTACAGTCAAAGGCTTTCTTGTCAATGAAGCAGAAGTAGGTGTTTTTCTGGAATCCCCTTGCTTTCTCTATGATCCGATGAATTTTGGCGGTTTGATGTCTGGTTCCTCTGCCTTTTCTAAACCCAGGTTGTACATCTGGAAGTTCTCAGTTCACATACTGCTGAAGCCTAGCATGAAGGATTTTGAGCATAACCTTTCTAGCATGTGAAATGAGTGCAATTGTCCAGTAGTTTGAACATTCTTTGGCATTGCCTTTCTTTGGGATTGGAATGAAAACTGACTTTTTTCAGTCCTATAGTCACTGCTGAGTTTTCCAAGTTTGCTGACATATTGAGTGCAGCACTTTAAACAGCATCATATTTTAGAATTTGAAATAGCTCAACTGGAATTCCATCACTTCCACTAGCCTTGTTTGTAGTAATGATTAAAAAGCTGGCTTTAAACTCAACATTCAAAAAACTAAGATCATGACATCGGGTCCCGTCGCTTAATGACAAATAGATGGGGGGAAAATAGAAACAGTGGCAGATTTTATTTTCTTGGGCTCCAAAATCGCTGCAGACGGTGACTGCAGCCATGAAATTAAAAGATGCAGGCTCAAAGATAGCTTTGGATACCTGGGTATACAGAGTGCCTTACTGGTGGGACAGGTCCTGCTAGTGGCCTGTAGATGGCAGCAGGGGCCCACACAGAGATCCCTGCCCCAATTCAATCCAATCTTCCCCATTCCAAGTGAGCCGCCTCCTGGGTTGTGGGGTGAGAGGGAAGTGCAGAGCAGTGCAGACTGGTCCAAGGAGACAGGCACACATCCTGCAGCTCAAGTCAAGTTGTTTCCTCTCACGGGTCCTCGGTTTCCTTATTTGTGAAATAAGTGTTAACAGTCTGTGATGGGAAAACGAGTTTAAAATATGTAAGGTAATCTAAGATAGGGGCTCAGACAGTGAAGAATCCACCTGCATTGCCAGAGACCGGGGTTTGATCCCTGGGCTGAGAAGATCCTCTGGAGGAGGGCAGGGCAACACACCCCAGTATTCTTGCCTGGAGAATCCCCACGGATAGAGGAGCCTGGAGGGCTGCAGTCCATGGGGTCTCAAAGAGTCGGATATGACTGGGCGACTAAGCACACAATCTAAGATGGGCTCAGAGTGGAGTGGAAAACCACTTAACTAATAAAGAATATCTGGCACTAGGGTGGAAGGAGGGGACTTTTTAAACATGACACCAAACGCTCAAGCCATAAGGTGACAAGTTGATGGATATGACAAAATGGGAATTTAGGATTGGAAAAGGAAATGGCAACCCACTCCAGTATTCTTGCCTGGAGAATCCCATGGAGGGAGGAGCCTGGTAGGCTACAGTCCATGGGGTCGCAAAGAGTCGGACACGACTGAGAGACTTCACTAGTCTTAGGATGCTGTGTTCCAAGGGAATATGAACAACAGATGCACAGAAGGAGAGAGATGTCAGTGCTAGAAAGATCCCAAGAGCAACCAGGAACCAGAGAGACCCGAATCTCAACAAAATTCCATTTCATTCGCTCTGTTGACAAAAAGTAAGACTTTAGATAGACTGGCAGTGGGCCACCACTAAGTTGCAAACCTTACAAATTGTACTGGAGGCCCTTTCGAGAGCTTGCAGAGAAAACACCCGACTCCAGGGGCTACCTAGGACTCCAAGAGAAGATTTCCTGTGCTGCCACTTCCTTGGTGGCGCCTACAATTGGCTGCTCGCACAGCCCACTCGGTAGCCAGCTGCTCTAGCGCTGGGTTTCCCCGGCGGCTGGCGGAGCCTCGGAGGTTTCCGCCCCCTCGAGAAGCCACGCCCCCTATTTCTGCCTCGTTCAAGGAGGGTCCGGCCCCGCCCCGTCCTGCCTGGGCCAGCCTGGCCCTTTAAGGCTGACCCAGCCCGGCTTGTAGTCGGGGACGCGCGGGGGAGGGGAGCGGTCACGTGGGCAGGCGGCGGCGCGACTCTCGGCTCTGGGAGCTCAGGGCCGCGGCCTCTGGCGACCCCTGTCCCTGCCCCTTACGGGCAACCACAGCCCCGTGAGCTGCCGTCAGGTCCGCCCTCGTCAGGTACGCCCTCACAGGGCCCCCTCCACCTCCCAATCCCGGGACCCCACGGCGCTTTCCCCTCTTGACTGGTGGCCGGGGCAGGACTCGCCTGGTGCCCGGCTTGAGTGACCACCGCCCCCTGTCGCGGGTCCGTCCTCTCCACAGCTCGTTCCTCATTCCCAGCCCTGTCCCTGGCCCGAAGCCCAGTCCGGCTTAGGGCGTCCATGGCTGGAGTGTACTGAAGGAGTCTGAGCGGAACTCACTCTTCGTCTCTTTCCCAGGTGGCCCCGGACGCGCCAGGCTGGGGCCGCCTCTGAGCGCCCCTCGGGGCCATGGACGTGGAGACAGCGGAGGAGCAGGGCGGCCCTGCGCCCCCGTCAAGTGCACCCTGCGGACCTTGTTCCGCCGGCGCTCCCGCCCTCGGGGGGCGGCGGGAGCCCAAGAAGTACGCAGTGACCGATGACTACCAGTTGTCCAAGCAGGTGCTGGGCTTGGGTGTGAACGGCAAGGTGCTGGAGTGCTTCCACCGGCGCACTGGGCAGAAGTGTGCCCTGAAGGTCAGTGACCCCGCGCGCCCGCATGGGCGGGGCCCCCAACAGCAGAGACCTGTGGATACGGGCTATGCCTAGGGCCTCTGTTAAGCTTCTTAGGCTAAGCGTTGCGGTTTCCTCCTCTTACTCCTGTGTAAGGTTGGGCTCCTGGTCCTTCCTGCTTCACAGGTGGGGAAACTGAGGCTTGGCTTAGCTAAGCTCAGAATGTCCCAGGGAGCAAGGGGTGTAGTCAGCTGTGGGTAGAGCCTGCTGTACCCGGAAGCAAGGAGGGAGTGACTCCTGACTCTGGGTTTCTGGCTGGGCCTGTGAGTTTGGGCCCATGGGGGACCCGCATTCAGCTTGGCTGCTCCTTTGAGAAACTCTTCTGACTGGAATGGGTTTCACTTACTTTCTGCCTGAGGCTGAGTCCCCACAAAAACTTGGAGTGGGGCTCATTCTCCTGAGGCCCCTGCCTGCCTAGGCTGGAGTGGTGACAGTCTCCCAGGGCTGACTGGTGGGCAAGCCTGACACCCATTGCCTCTGTGGGCAGGAAGCTACTCATGGGCTCCAGATGAGTCAACCAGACCCATGTTGCAAGGGGCAGGCCCTGCCTCTGACCTGACCCACCCTGTTTCCTGGGCAGAGGGCGGGCCAGCCATCTAGCCACGTCACACCACAGACTCTGTGGGCCTGGTTAAGACCGCACTGATACAGCTGGAGGCCTGGGAGTCTTGAGGGTGGCTGACCGAGCTATGTAGTTCTGGCTTAGGTCATGGAGTTTTGGGCCCAGGACCGTGCCGCATACCTCAAATCCCTGTCCTCGCTGGGAACTTCACTTAGTTGCAGCCTCTGCCAGTGACCCCTTGGATAGGTAGAGTGTGGCAAGGAGAGTGGCTCCTGGAGGTTTGAATATAGCTGAGGATCTTCTCATTTTACAGACGTTGCAATTATGAGCCCAAGCCGAGAGTCCTGAAGTTGTAGCTCTAATCTTTGGCCTGCATTTGCCAGCTCCGTGACCTTGGACTAGATCTTGGACTCTCAAAAATCAGGTTCCTCTGCTCAAGGGTTGTTAAGATAAGGAGTTGATGTGAGCTTGGAATGGAATCATGCATGTAGAGTCAGTGGCACAGGGCCTGGCACAGGCCTGGAGAGGCCACAGGACTTGCTTAGGGCACAGAGTCTGCAAGTATCTGAGCAGGAATCTGGGCCCAGCTCCCTGTGTCTTTCCCAGTGGCACCAGAAGTGGTAGAGGGGGTCATCTCCCCAGGGTGGTCTTGGAAGGGCTCGTGAGGATGGGTCTGGAAGATCTCAGGGCTGGGCTGGTGAGGCTGGGTCTCAGGCACAACTTTGCTTACGAACCCAGCAGTGGAGTGGGGTTGGGAGGCCCTTCTGGAGCCCCTGGTGGGGGATTCTCCAAGTACTTCAGGAAAAGGGTTGCTCTCCTGAGGGGAGATGGAGCTAAGGAAGTGAGCAGTGACAATTTACATTCTCTCCTTCAGCACCATCTGGGCCCTTTCACTCCTGCTTGGGTCAGGGTGCAGCCTGGGTGGGCAAGGGGCCATCTGAGGCCTCTTCTTAATACCAAGGTTTTGGCCCTGTGAGCCAGGCTGAGCTCTGACCACCCCGTGTGCTACTCCAGAGGCTGTGAATGAGACAGGGACGGAGTGGGAGGCTGGAGTTTGTGGGCCCAGGCAGCACTGGCTTAAGCAGAACCAGCTCTAAGCCTTTTCCTGCAGGTGCTGTGTCTGACTTGGGGGAACTTCTGACTGCAACAACTTTCAGAGCACCTGCTCTTGAATCTAGCACCTCAGTGGTCCCTGTTGTGGACTGGAAAGGGGGCAGACCCAGAACAGATTCCCCTATTGTTCCCCTTTAGGCTTTTTGGGTGAGCATGGCTAGAGATGTTGGCTTGGGGCCTTCAGAATTTGGTTCTAGGTTGGCCTGCAAGGGGGACATGGATTCGATGAGGCCCCCACCCCAGCACCTTCCGGTTCTTGCCAACCCCCACCCCACTGCAGTGACCAAGTCCCCACCCAACTAGGCAGGTCCTTTCCTGCTTCCAAGATGGGACGACCACAACCTCTAGCACGTCATACCTGTACTACAAGTGATGGCTCTAGAGAGGTGGTGGCACCTTTCTGTTTATAGCCTCTGCCCCTGCACAGGAGGGCCAGGACCGGGAGACCTCAGCACATGGCCTGTCTTGGGCCCCGGGAGCTCAGTCAGTCCCTGAGTGGGTCTCAGCCCTCTCTCTGCTTCTTGCCCCTGGTCAGCCTAAGCAGAGGCCGTGGGCTCTGGCCTTTTTGCTTCCCTGGACCTACATCCCTTCCCAGGCAGACCTCTCCTTGTCTTGTAACCTGGCTTTGTCCAGGCCATCTCTGCCATTTATGGGCCAAGTCTAGTGTCCTGCCCTCTCTTCGTGCCTGTCTTCCTGGCCCTGTTGCTCAAAGTGATAGATAGAGCTTGGCATGAAGCCTGGAACACAGCAGGCACTCATAAAACAGGAAGAGCTGTGGTCAGTGTCCCTGTAGCTGTTGCTATTCTTTGAGGGCCCCAGAGAAACAGGCTTCTCCTTCCTGGGGAGCTGGGCCTCTTCTCCTTTCTCTGAGCCCCTGACCCACTTGGCCTGATCCATCTTGGCCTCCCTCACACTCAACGACTCTCTCCCGAGGCAGCTTCTACCCCCAATGCCGTCATTCCAGTCTCCACACCACCCTTAGCACCTCTGTAGTCCCTTCGGCAGGAACTGGAGGTCTGCCTGCCAAGAATCTGGGGCAGGGGACTGCCTCCTACTGACCTCTTGTTTGTGATCCCTTCCAGGCCTAACTAGTTCATTGATACCCCGTATCTTCACTCCTAAGTGGACACAGCCACCCCGCCACATGGAGACCCAGTCCCTCAAGCCTTATCCATGTAAGAAAGTCAGGACCTGGAGTTAGTGGTCACAAGTCACATGACTTGATCGGGATGGGAAATTATAGCAGAGACCAGAATCGTCTCCCCTCCTGACTTTCTGCCAAGTACACATGTGGTCCCTGGCCGCCTGGCAGGTAGAAGTGATAGTGGCAGTTAGATAAATGGAAACAAAGGCTTGTGGGAGGGAGGTTCTAGAGGGAGGGAACATATGTATACTTACGGCTGATTCATGTTGATGTGTGGCAGAAACCAACACAATATCGTAAAGCAGTTATCCTTCAATTAAAAGTAAATCACAGAAAACAAAAAACAAAGACTTGAGTAGCTTGAAGGGGTCTGCAGTGGGAGTCTTCTTTCCCAGCCCTTCTCTCGGGGCTCTGGGTCCACTGAAAAATGTTAGGCTCCCAGTGCCCTCTTCGTCCTGTCTTTGTCAGAGCGGAGTTTTGGAGTGTTGAATCCACATGCCAGGAGGTCCCTGCATTGCTCCATGGGTGGGGCTGGCCTGTTGGAGCTGGTGCTGTGGAGCTGGATTTGAGGCTGGGTGGGGCTGCCTGGCAGACCAGGTACTTTCTCATTTAGCAGCTGCCACCCCTTCACCTACCACCTCCAGACCGGTCAGATCACCCTCTGCAGGGCCTCTTGTTTACTGAGTTGACACATCAGGAAGCACGTGGAGGGCTGGCCGCCTCCTACAGTGGAGTCCCCACTAGTGGTTTTACCGCATCTTTCCAGGCTGCCCCTCTCCTGAAAGGAAAGAATCTGAGTAACTCAAGTACTACCGACTCAAGTAGCCTTCTGAACTGCCAGAAGTGGACAGTTTGTTTTTTAAAATGAGGATCTTAGGGAGGTTGTCAAACCCTATGACATGCAAATAGCAGGGTTTGGGGACAGTTTTAAAATTATTTCTTTATTTTTCGCTATGCTGGGTCTTCATGGCTACACGAGCTTTTTCTCTAGTTGCGACGGGTGGAGGCTACTCTCTAGTGGTGCTCAGGTTTCTCATTGCGATGGTTTCTCTTGTTGCAGAGCACAGACTCTAGGGCTCACAGGCTTCAGTAGTTATGGCTTCAATGGTTGTGGTGCACAGGCTTAGCTGCCCTGTGGCATGTGAGATCTTCCCAAATCAGGGATCGAAACCATGTACCCTGCATTGGCAGGCAGATTCTCTTCCACTCAGCCACCAGGAAAGTCCCAGAGGGGGATTGTTTTGAGATGTTTCCGGCCCTGCCCAGCTGGCCTTGCTCACAGCTTCAGCAGCTGTGCTCCTAGCCCGTTGTCAGGATCCCCTCTGCTGGGACTTTCAGAATCATTTTCCCACCCCAGCCAGGAACTGATGCCATCTCTCCAGGCTTCAGGCCTTGGTGTTGTGGGGTCTGATGCTCCCAGGAATGGCCGACAGTTGTCCGGAGCTAGGACAATTGTTCTGTCTGCTAGGCCCTGTCCCTGTGCATATACACGTTATCGTACCTAACTCTTTTCATTCCCATTTTATGGATGAAGACATTGATGCTCAGAGAGGTGATCAGTTTGCCCAAGATGGCTGGCTGATGTGTGGCAGGACTGGGACATGTGTCTAGGCAGTTTTATCCCAGAGTCTTAGCACCTAATTCACCTCATGCCTCTTGCAAGTCTGTGGGGACATAAGAAGGTCTCTTAGACTAGGCTCCTGGAAGAATGCTAACGATGTCATCCATGAACTGCACTGGGCCCCAGGTGATCCTGCTGCTGTTTGTATCTGTCCAGCTCTCCTCACTGCAGGATGCTATGCCTGGGAGTAGACAGGTGGTAGTCCCTGCAAAAGGACCGCGCTAGCTGTGGGACTGCCTCAGAAACGGTTTATGGTTCATCTCAAGCCTTGTGAGTCTCAGACAAGCCCAGGCCAGCGAAAGTCCAGGGTGCCACAGGCAGGAAATTAGGTTGGTGAGTGGGCGAGAGGAAACTGTCAGGACTGGGCCAGCCCGGGGAGGTTTCCTGGAAGAGACTGCCAGCTTTCATGCAGGCCTCTGGTCCGAGAAGATGTGGATGACAGAGGAGGACACAGGGTGTGTGTGTGTGTGTGACAACATGCCTGGTTTGCACAGCTCAGCACTTGGTGTGGGGTACTGCTTCCC